CTTATTTAAGGGAATAAAACATGGTACTTCATAATACATAGACATACGGCGCGAATAATTGGGTTACTTACAGTCACAGCAAATGAACACAATCCCATCCTTCACATAGTCATCGTGTGTGTTGTGTGTGTGGTGTGTGGCACAAGCGGCCGGGTACATCTAAAGATAGACGTGTTTGATTGCAAAAATACTAAATTCCAATACAATGCCTATTAACCTCCCTAGTCCTCATATTGCACAGTAGATCTTTCCTGGACTTCTTCATCCCTACCTATCGTGCAATGGTCACCAACATGGTCATCCTCTATCTTGTATATCTTGAATATTTTCTCCTTGATTCTATCCCATAACATGAATTTTAGACTTCGTGACGCGTCCACAACCTATAAGATGGATACATTTCTTTTGTTTAAGATGCTAAGTTCTGATAGTTTGGTCCATCAACATTAGGAAACTAAGGTAAGATGTAATCTACATCTATGGGTGAGAAATTCTCAGAGGCTTAAAACAATGTTGAGTTTGTTAGTTAAGCTACATGTTCAGTGGTATGTGGAGAATTCATGGTCATCGCGGCGCATCCAGGCTGATGGAGCTGACCTCATCAGAGCCTTGCTTACAGGTTCTTCTGCTGGAAGGCGAAAGTTACATCCCGTAGAGGCTCTTGCAGTTAATGCCACAAGCCAGCAATTATACCCCATCACATCTGCTCACAAACCTCAGTAGCCCTAAAAGCAGTCACATGGACCCAAAACCCAAAGCAATGATTCAGAAAGTGCAGCCAGGCACGGTGCGCTCTAATTGTTCCTGTAATTTCCTCAGCACTTTGGGATTTGCCAGCGGGTCAAGATCCACTCTGATGGTTCAGGAAGTTTGATATACTACTGACCAACAATGGAGGAACCCATCTCTCACTAAAAGATACAAAAGTAGCTGGCCATGGTGCCCACATGCCTGTAATCCCCAGCTACTCAGGAGGGCCTGAGGCAGGACGAATCCCCTGAACCTGGGAGGCAGAGGTGGGGTGAGCCGAGATCATGCCATTTGCACCTCCAGCCTGGGCAACAAGAGCTAAGCTCATCTCAAAAAAAAAAAAAAAAAAAAAAAAGGAAAAAGAAAGTGCAATACTCTTTATGGCCAGAAAGTGGAGGCACAAATATTCGGCAAAGCATGACACTTCCAAAGGGGGCTCAGGAGCTCCACTCCACTCAGGTTAGCAACCCCATGCTCTTCCATGAAACTGAACCTCTCTGTGTCTCAGTGTCCTCACTTGTAATACAGTCTCATGTTACAGACTTGTTGTGAAGGTTAAATGAGATAATACACGCAGTGTGCTGAGCTTAGGGCCTTCTCCTGGTATGCACCCAGTCATTGAAGTTCGTTGATAAACACTTGAGGAAACATTCAAGATCACGTAAGGATGAATAAATGATGGCTCTGTTACTTTCTAGAAGTGGCAGGTGAGGAACTGCAGGTGATTTAGCCTGAGGCATTCGTGTCAGTTGCAGCTGGAGAAACGGCCACTCTGAACTGCACTGTGACCTCCCTGCTCCCTGTGGGACCGGTCCAGTGGTTCAGAGGAGCTGGTCCAGGCCGGAAATTAATCTACAGTCCAAAAGGATGCCACTCTCCCTGGGTAACAACTATTTCAGACCAGAGAAAGAGAAACAGCACAGACTATTTCATCCGCATCAGTAACATCACCCTCGAAGACACTGGCACCTACTACTGTGTGAAGCTCCTAAGAGCAATTCCTGCCAACGTGGAGATTAAGTCTGGACCAGGGACTCCGATGTCTGTGCGTGGAGAGTACAGTGTGGGCCTCCTTCGTCCCCTAAGTTGTGACAAGAAGTCAATAATAGCACTGTCCTCTCTGTCAGCAACAATCAAGGGTGGCAGTGGGTGCTCACTTTCATGATCTGATGCCACCCTCTTCTACACATCAGGTATATCGAGGCCTGGAGATATCATGCTATTCACTCAAGGCTCGGCAGCTGGTAAATGATGGGGAAGTCTGAAACCTTAGTCTGCCTGGCACCACAGCCTTTGCCTCTTCTAATCTGGCCCAGCCATGTTTCCATAGATAAGGGAACTGACGATTTGAGTGACTTTCCCAGGCACAAGACTAGACCTTGCCTGCTGCGTCCACAGAGCACTTTCCCCCTCAGCATGGCCGAGACTCTTCTTTACGCAACAAGCATTCGCCGAGAACCTACTGTGTGTGAGCCTCCACCGTGGTGGAGCAAATAGCTTTTAAAAAAAAAAAAAAAAAAAGGCACAAGCTCTGCTCTCACCAAG